AAGTTTGTTGCTATGCTGCATGGCTCGATCATGTCCATGGTGGTGCGTTTTTGTAACTTGTTACACAAGTAGTCGGGTGCTAAATTATTGGCACACTTATAGGCCATAACTGTATCTCTAAGTTGTAGTGTCTGGCTCACTGACAACCAGTTAAGTTGGTGCAATAGGGGAGTAACATGATCGTGCTTCCTGGAACCGGTGATGATCTTACAAGCAGAGTTTTGGATCAGTTGTAGGTTTCTGATTGTATTCTGTGTAATGTACATTTGTATTCTGTGTAATGTACATTTATACCGTTGCAGTTTAGACAAAAAGTAATAACTTTATTTTTGCATTTCCAACCTGTCCCATGGTTAAAGTTTTCTTGATCGCACCATGAATGTCATACACCAAGACGGTGCCATCATCAGCTACACACAGGAGATCTTCAGTGACTGACCAACCCATCTGAACAACTGAGCCAGCATCCCACTGAAAACAATAAGAACTTCAGAACAGGATGGAAAACAATCAGCTCTAAGATACAGCAAACACCATCAAGACACATTGCTTCAAAAGACAAACATAAAAAGGAGTGGACTGTTAAGCCAAGACTAACTTTCTACTTTCAACCTATTTGATACAAGCCAAGAATGGCAAATGGGGAAAGTAATCAAAGTTTCTATGGACCTTATCACCTTTTTAATAAGCAAATGTAAAGGTTCTTGTTTACCTTGACAGAAGCAAGTTCCTTCCCAGCAGAGGAAAAAATATGAATAACTGGCTTGTTAATGGATGATCCTTGGACTCGTACAAAATGTTTATCTGCTCTCATCAGAGCTGCAATTGTTTAATATAACATGAAAATAACTGAGTCCATTCTGTTTGGAGTTGAGATAGACTCTATGATCTACAGTCTGCAAAAGATAACTGGCAAGCAACTGAGCTGAGTACATACAGGAAAGGAAAGATATGTTGAGTCTCTACTCCCATCAAGAGGCCCATCCAGCCAGAGGTTATCCTGGTTTCCAGGGATTTCATTTATTTCAGAAGTAGGTATAAATTAAAATACAAGTAAATAGGTGGAAGACAGTTCAATGGCAATTGAGGCAGATTGTTAAGAGTTTGATGGTTTAGTGGCAGGTGATTTGTAGTCTAAACAGAATGCAGGGTTGTCAGAACAAATTCAACAAACACTGCCTTGCCACACTTGACTGATCACAACTGATCATGACTAACTCTCTTCACTTGTGAAAACTACTTAAAACTTCGCTTAACCTATCCTACTTATAAACTTGCACGATAAAATTCTAGAACTTTCTAAAAAGGTCTAATTATAGCAGCATTACAAAATATACTGCTTTTAGAAATGATTACATAATATCCTAAGGTAAACAAGCCATGACCTTTCACGAAGTTTCCAGAAGGTCACGCATGTCACGCAACACTATTTTTCGTAACACAGATATATCATCAGTCTCTCTCTTCTGTCCATTCAACATGAAGTACAGTGATGCGATTGTGTTGTTGATTGAATTGTTAAAACTCCTCACAAAAATCACCCAACAACCAAAAAGGTGACAAAACATCAACGAACAAACACCTTTATTAATGACTGCCATTCAATGTTTTCCAAAAAACATGCAAAAACCAGGAAGTGGAATGGCGATAGTAGCCCGCTCTGTTGTTGAGAATAGCTGCCAGAATTCATGGGTTGCCGGCTTCCAATGAAATCCCTGGGTTTCCAGAACAAGACGTATTAGCCTAATAGTATTACTACTTTCCTTGGATGGAATGCCAGTCCATTCACAAGCTAATGCCCCAGGATTTCATCAGACTTTCCTAAGAACTCACTTGTATTAATTTATACTCCTGGCTGGAGAGAGCCAGTAAGGAATTGAAGTAAACTGTTTTGTCCAAGAACACAACACAATAAATGGGACAGCTCTCAAAGCCAGACCTTTCAACCTGGAGCTGGGTGCTGCGACCCTAAAGATCACAGTATCTTCAAGGTATATAGGGTAGAATTACATACTTGAATAAAATCTCAAGTCCTGGTTATCTAACAAAGCAAAGTATTTTTAGCATAGAATTGCTGGTTGAAAAGGAGGCTAAGTGATATTGTTTTGCAGCTCTTGTTTCATACTCAGGATAAAAACAAATGAAATTATAACTGTTTCTTTCTTCCTTTAGTTATTTTTATTCAATTATGCAATTCCAGGAAAATAAATTCCTTGACCTGAGGGAATTCTGCTTTAAACTGCACTTTATAACCAATATCACACTCATTACTTTGCAGTCCATGTGATATAGGTTTTTGCGTGCAATTTAGCCCAGAATTCCCTTGTCAGGGAATGAATTCTGTTATAGATATTACACTAAAATTGCTCTGAGTGTGTCACCCTTCAGATAATAATGATCATTTATGACAGGTATGAGGCCATCAAATGAAAGAAGGTAACTTAACATGGAGTGGTCATTTTTACCTACCTATTGGACCTCCAAACGGTGCAGCACTTACAATAAACTTGGAAAGATCCACAGTTTCTTGCCAGGCCATGCTATATAGCTCAATTTTTCTGCAGACAACAAAATAAAGGAAATGTTGTTTTAAACCTTTAAGTAACTGATATCATATACAGCGTACAAGCTAGCAGCTGCAGAGTGGGCTTGTAAAGCAGGTTACAAATTCAAATTATATCATTATCAACAAAAAGTGTATTTCTTGCATTATTTTCTTTTCAAAATATGTTCATGTGAGGAATCAGTTGAAGTTGAAGGATTGCTCAACTTCATCCATTCACAAACAACAGTGTTGTAATGGCGGAAATAAAGAATTGGAGGAACCACATAATGAAAGACTCATTACCAAGTTATGGAAGGGCTGGCTAACTAACAGTAGAAATTGAAATTTTTACATATCATGAAAGATCACCGATTATAGGAGATTCTGGGATGCATAGGGAAAGAAAACATTTCCAATTTTCCTGATTAATTTTGTTGCCGACCATTCCAGAGAGTCAGGGATCTCTACAACTTTGGGTTTTCATCTTTCCGAAAAGTCTGGGACCATCACAAGGCTGTGCTCTAAGGAAAATTGAATGGAGCCAAGTGGTCCGAAACTGTGAAATCCAGGGTGCCCAGCATATGCTTTGTATGAATAAACTAAAATTCCTGAGTTGCCCAAGAGCAAAAGTAAGGTGCCAGGGGCCACCGGGTGCTGCTAGACCACAGCCTTGCATCAAGAAAAAGTGAAATTGCCAATTGTCTGGGAGTTTCCCAACATATGAAAATCAGGCTTAAGCCAAAATAGTACTGTCCAAACTCTCTGCAGAGTTCTCTATGGCTAAATGTTACAACATCATGATCAGTGCATGGACTTTGTAGGTCTGAGGTTTGATTCCTCATTGGGACCCCTATTTTTTTTTTTTGACCAAGTACCTGTATATGAAAAGAGAAATGACTTACTTCTTTGAAATCTGTTCTGCTAAAGGATCACTAATTTGATTGATATGTGGTACATTAATTGGTTATTGGGTTGAATGAATGACAGACAAGCTTGGGCATGACTTACATGCCTGTGAGCCTCAACTCCTGAGGATGATTGGTATCTAATTTCTCCATGCAGTACTGTATCACTCCTCAATCAAGCAAAGTGGTCAGGAGAATTAAAAAATGATCATCACCTTATGAGGCTCTTGCTCGTTAAATAAATTCAGCACCTTATTTAGGAAGTGTATATAGAACATTATGGAGATTATGCATAGTACTGATCACAGGTAGCCCAAGGTCACTACTAGAAAAATGGATGTGACTTTTACAGTGTTATGCAACATTTTATATTTATAAAGGTTTGTATGGGATGTTATTGGTTTGCCTTAAAAGAGAGAAAAAAATGTCTAGTTTTGAAATAAAATGGACTTGCCTTATTGCCTTGTTGTTTTCTTTGTTGATTACCAGCATCTCAGGCCATTTTGAAGCATTTTCGGCGAGTTAGCGCTATTTTGGTGTTCAACTGCTAAAAAAAAAGACAAGGCCGGAAACCTATTTTAGAAGTGTCCATCGTCAGAAGCGAATAATTCCGTCAAAAAATTACCACCAGTCTCGATTCCTCCAGAAAATCAAAGCAGAGATGTTGCAGTTCTATTTCCATTCACTCGATTCCTAATTCCTCCCACAGATCTTTCACTAGCAATGCTTTTGTCTCCAGATCGATCGGCTTTCCAATTTTGAATTTGGCTCGTTGAAACAGTTGTAGACCCGTTTGCCGATAGCACAGTATGTCCGGTAACAAAAATAAGCCTGGCGAGGGTAGCCAGCAGCCTGCCGACCAGGGGAGCTAACTGGTTTGTTTGTCGACTGCAGGCCGCTGGCTACCCTCGCTGGGCTTATTTTTTTTACCCAACATACTGTGCGATCGGTGAACGGGTCCACAACTGTTTCAACTTCGGGCGACAGACACTTCTAAAATAGGTTTCCGGCCTTGTCTTTTTTTTTAGCAGTTCAACACCAAAATAGCGCTAACTCGCCAAAAACGCTTCAAAATGGCCAGAGACATTGGTAATCAGCAAAGAAAACAACAAGGCAATAAGGTAAGTCCATTTTATTTCAAAACAAGGCATTTTTTTCTCTCTTTTAAGGCAAACCGATAACATCCCATACAAACCTTTAAAAATATAAGACGTTGCGCAACATTGTAAAGCCCCGTCTACACGAGCAATTAATTTTTTTAAGTGGCAAATGTATGTGGCAATTTTTATTTGCCCGTGTAGATGGCTGGACAAATATTTGTTGTTAATTTGTGTCAGTAAGAGTTTTGCACAGCAGAGATGCTCATGGAAAGGAAAAAAGCAAGATGGCGAAAGTCAGAAGACGTGCCAGACGTATTGCAGCTTTGGGCGCGTTTGTCACATTTTATGTGGCGTCTCATCTACACGGACAATTTTTTTATGTGGCAATTTTTATTTGCCACATAAAAACTAACGCGCCAGCTTTTCAGCAAATGCAGTTGTCACATAGAAATTGGTAATTTTTCATCATCTACACGGGCAAATAAAAATTGCCACAAAAATTGCCATATAAAAATTGCTCGTCTAGAGTCACGGGTCTTAAGAGTCACGTCCGTTTTTCTTGTAGTGAGCTTGGGCTGCCTGTGTACTGATGTTAGGGTATAAACTTAAGATTTAATGATGAGACATAATTATCATTCCGATTCATTTCGCTTTATGAGACTTCCAATTAAAACAAATAATTTTATAGAATTATTGTACGGACTACAAAATTACATGCAGTGAGCATATAGATTGCAGGGTCAAAAACGAAAGTCGAAGAACATTTGGATAAAACTCACCTATAATACACCTTTCCTAGGGGGTTCCAGTCTACCGTAACGTGGGCCATCTTCCTTTGTAAGCTATTTAAACGCCCCGGCGACCCTAATTTTCTTTTACGTGTTTACATGGTGTAGTAGTTGGGTAAATTTAACACACACGGCCTTCTTCTCAGCGCGGTCTGCGCGGTCACCATATTGTCTTTACAGGCCCGCACTGCTTTTATCCAGTGCTCATTCATAACTAACTATGTAAATGTTGAGTATCCCAGACATCATTTCGGGTCATACAAATTCAAGATGGCGGTTCCGAAAGCGAAAGGCTATCGTCCCAGATGCTTTTTCGATGTTGAAATTAACGGCTCGCTAGGTAAAAAAGATACTAATAGTTTATTACAAATACAACTTAAGCCTCAAGTGTTAATCGCTAGCTATTATTTTGTACGAGTGATAGATTTTGGTTGCAAACGCGGTCTCCAATGTGTACATCCATCGCTTACTTGATACTTTTCTGAAATTGTTTTTTCAATGTCTAGACTAAACAATTTCGTGTTGTAATTGTCTTCCATTTTCACGATGACCTGAATAGTGTTTTGTGTTGCTTTTTCAAGTTTTGGGGCTTTGATCACAAATTGATCGTGTTTCGAAACATTTCAACAGTCGGAGAATGTTACAATTACTAGCTTCCATTAAAACCCTTTGTTCAAACTTAGCGCGTTATTGAGTAACGCATATAGAAAGGAGGGGTTATGCATGGTAAATGGAGAAATTGGCAAGATAATAAAGGGGTCTCTGGTTTCTTCACTTCTTAAATGAATTCGTGAAGAGTTTCAGGTGCATCAAGAAGTTATTCTAGACACTAGATCTTCTTTTGCACTGCCTGCCTTTCACCTAAGATTTAAGATGCCATTTTGATGTTACAGACTAAATAATGATGCAGTCATACTTGTTAAATGAGATTGACACATGAACCGATTCCTCCGTGGGTAACCATGGGGGGGAGGGAGCACAAACTCCCTTCTTACCCCAATTTTTTCAGTATCTTTAAGCATATCACTCTAAAATCAGAAAACTTTGCTGATTGTTGGGAACTTTTGAAGTCCTTTTGATGAATTTTCCTTATTGGTTAAATGTCAAAAGTGGAAAAAATTTATGGAAGTGTCTTCTGTTACATGCATGAGAGCCTTGCAAAACTTTTTCCTGGTGTTTTTAGCAGTTTCCTGCAATGTTCAAAGTTGCCTTCAACTTAAAAAAAATACTATTCAGTTTTAAGGGTTAGAAAAGCACCCAAGAGATAGAACTGCAAAAAAAGAAAACACTTGAATTATTTCTTCTTAGAACTAAAAAACTTAAGATAGATTTGACATGTCTATCTTGATGAAAATTGGGCCAACTTTTTCACTTTCAGATTTAATGTTTGCAAATAATCAGCCAGTGGTATTTTCGATGTATAATCTCAAAACTTTTGAAGAAATTAATTTGTTTTAACCACAGTTTCAATGCAAATCATCTCCTTGAGGGAAAAATTTGAACTGTTATCATTATCTTTATGCATGAGATCTATTAAATGAGACGTTTTTCCTTTCTAGTTGGCAGGGTAATTTTTGAACTATTTGCTGATATTTGCCCAAAAACTTGTGATAATTTCAGAGCATTATGTACAGGTGAGATAAAACTTTGTAACAGTAAGCTACGTGTAAGTGATGATAATAATACTTTTTTTTTAAATCCCAATAAGTTCATGTTGTATTTAGCTGTAAATCCATCTTCAACCCTCTCACTCCATGGATGTGAATGCAAATCATTGTGACTGTCTGCTATAGACCACTTAATTAATTAGTGGGCACAATTAGTACTCATTTTTTATTAGAGACGGCAGAATTAAGCCACCAGGGTCTTAGGCCTTTCTTTGTTCCAAGCTTAAAGAATTGCTTGGTGTGGTGTACTAACCATTTGTAAGCTTGTCATGTTGTATTTGCTATTAATATTTATGAATTTAACTGTTTACACCTTAACATCAATATGCAAGTTCCTGCTACTCTTCTCTATATAATTCTTTTCTATAGTACACTTACAAGGGGACTTTGTTTAACAATCAAGAGGTTCTTATTTAACAATCAAGAGGTTCTTGACCTTTATAGTTGATTCAAGGGGTGATACTGTTGGAGGAAATTAGATCCCTTTCTCTTTTAAGGTGTTAAGGGTCAAGTACATAAATATTTTTATATCTTATTAACCAAGCGCGAGGGCCGCACTGGGAGAATATCGGCCCAAGGTCTTGACAGTATGGACCGAGCACGGCAAGGTCCGTACAAAAAAGACAGAGGGCCGATATTCTTCCAGTATGGTCCCGAGCAAGCTTGGTCAATAAGAGATTTATTATACGACTGAAGTTCAAAGGGACACAAGTGCGGTATCATTCGGGACCATTCGGGACAGTGCCCTGTCCAATACTGAGAGAATATTGACCAGCAATAGAGCATTTTGATTTGGATATATCAACAAAGTTGAAATGGTAAATTGGCCACCGTAATGATTACAAAAGCTGATGTTTCAAGCGTTAGCCCTTCGTCGGAGCTAAATTATTTCGTTACTCCCACCGACGCAGCCCCAAACAGTTTCTTTCGAAACTATCAGCATTTATTCAATAGAGCATTTTGATTGGTTGATTTTAGTTATTGGCCCTCTGACTGACCGAGTCGTGTAATAAATTTTCATATTCTTTATTTACTTCATATAATCACAAAACTTGTTATTTCTAGGAGAAAATGGGCTAAGCAAGGTTTCTGGGAAAACTTTACACTACAAAGGGTCACCATTTCACCGGGTTATTAAGAATTTTATGGTCCAAGGAGGAGATTTCACCAAAGGTGGGTTTAGAAACATGCATGCATATCACTGGTCTTTGTAATGTCATGGTGATACTCATGGAAACCTCTACTGCTGGATTGCCATTGAATCATGGAAATATTTGGTAAAGCCAATTAACATTAATGTTTTTTTTTTTATCAATGATTAAAATAAATGTAACTAAGCTGTTTTAAAATTTGAACAACCAATTTTTTGGTAACAAACTTTTTTTTCATATGTAACTCAGTAGGGGCTGTTGAATATTTCCTTTTAGGTAATGGAACAGGAGGGGAATCTATTTATGGAGGAATGTTTGATGGTTAGTACTCATGTATGTAACAAACGTAATGCTTCTTGATCAAGTACATATTTCTTATTAGACATTTTGCTGTGTAGAATCGCTGAGTATTTTTACAAGTTGTGCCGTATTTTGATGAGCCCATACGGTGAGTTAAAATACAAATAACAAGTAAAAAGACTCAGCAATACTACACAACAAAACATCTAATAAGTTATTTATTATCCAACACGCTAAACTGTTATTTCAGTGGGGGCGAATTTCGCGGACATTTATTTACGGAGGGTGTGTGACGGAAGTATGTAGAATTGGCACGTAGTCGTGTTGCTGTTTCTTTTGTCTTCAATAAATGAAGAAATTTCCAGGTCATCTAGCTGTTTTTCTTCGTTCGATTCATCTAATAAACTTGGATGTATATTTTCCAGCCATTCTGACTCTTCATCGTCAGAATTATGATACAAATTGTCCGCCATTTTTTTTTTGTAACTACAATTCAATTCTTTGCTTGCGCCATGCGAGAAAACTTGTTTAACGGGTACTCTACAGTACAAATACCGCATTGATATTTGTACTTGTCTGTGGCGGTATTTGTACTCTACGAAGTGTAGTTGGATAGCTGTACTTGTATTTGAATCACTTGAAGTGACAATAACAATGGAAGGCAATGGTTTGCTAAGTTAATGGTTCGCTAAGTTAATGGTTCGTTAAGTTGATTCGTAATAAACCCGTGATGAAAAATAAGATACAATGAATATATGAAAGTTCATATATTTTGAACTGCGGTTATAGAAAGGTATGATGCACGATCCTTGCAGTAGAGAGTGCTATTTATGCAATAGCGAGAATCAGACCTGAAAAAAGGTCTGATTTTCGCTATGGCATAAATAGTGCTCTCTACTGCAAGGATCGTGCATCATACATAAGACACTATATTCTTGTAAACTGTTGCATGTTTGTCTATACCTTTACTTATAAATTATTTTTTGTATTTTTAAATTTTATCCTGTATTTTCAGCTTTCAAGATGTCTTGTATTCTTAACTATTGTAATTTTCTTACTCCAGGGCCCCTCTGGATATCAGCCTCGCTGCTGAATGGGCCACCCTGGCTAAATAAAGTGTACCTACCTACCTACCTATCCTTAAGATCCAAATACATGTATCAATTCTCTGCACCATGTTTCATACATCTGTTATTATAATTTTAGCTCTGAGAATTTATTATGTTAAATCAAGCAACATCCCCTTTTTGATACATGTATGAATGGTATTCATTCTCCTAAGATCAAATACAAAAATTAGTCCTAATTGAAATTACTGTGTTACATTCTTTTTTTGTATTAGGTTTAAATGCTTTTTCTTTTGTTGTGTATGGCAGATGAATCTTTTGAAGCTAAGCATGATAGGGCAATGTTGTTATCAATGGCTAACAGGGGCCCTAATACCAATGGATCACAATTCTTCATGTGAGTAAAACAAAGAAATCTTGATTACCCAGTAATTTTACTTTTAAGCTCCTTTCAGCATATTGAATAGTAGCCAATTAAAGAGTAAGAGTCACAATCACAAGCAGCAGGCTTTTTGTATATGGACCATAAATAATCACTGCAAAATATTTATATATTTGTTACTGGATTTGGAAAATTAAGTTATATTGTTAGCAAAACACCTCAGTTTACCAACTGAAGATATAAATTTCTTGAGACAAACATAAATAATCAAAGAAAATGTTTGTTTATTCTGTCCGTTTGTTTGACTCTAAAATCCAAAAGCATTAAAGT